GAGGATAGAGGGGATCACTATATCAGAATACAGCAGTGTGGTCCTCATGGGAGGGTAAAGAGGATCACAATATCAGAATACAGCAGTGTGGTCCTCGTGGGAGGGTAAAGAGGATCACAATATCAGAATACAGCAGTGTGGTCCTCATGGGAGGGTAAAGAGGATCACAATATCAGAATACAGCAGTGTGGTCCTCATGGGAGGGTAAAGAAGATCACAATATCAGAATACAGCAGTGTGGTCCTCATGGGTGGGCAAACAGGATCACAGAATCAGAGTAGAGCAGCGTGATCCTCATGGGCAGGAAAAGGTTAAAACACAATCATAATACAGCAGTGTGATCCTCCTGGGCAGGTAAAGAGAGAGGGCAAAATCAGAATACCCTCCCAGGAGGATCACACTGCTGTAAAGAGAGATGGCAATATCAGAATACAGCAGTGTGGTCCTCGTGGGAGGGTAAAGAAGATCACAATATCAGAATACAGCAGTGTGGTCCTCGTGGGAGGGTAAAGAGGATCACAATATCAGAATACAGCAGTGTGGTCCTCATGGGAGGGTAAAGAAGATCACAATATCAGAATACAGCAGTGTGGTCCTCATGGGAGGGTAAAGAGGATCACAATATCAGAATACAGCAGTGTGGTCCTCGTGGGAGGGTAAAGAGGATCACAATATCAGAATACAGCAGTGTGGTCCTCATGGGAGGGTAAAGAGGATCACAATATCAGAATACAGCAGTGTGGTCCTCATGGGAGGGTAAAGAGGATCACAATATCAGAATACAGCAGTGTGGTCCTCATGGGAGGGTAAAGAGGATCACAATATCAGAATACAGCAGTGTGGTCCTCATGGGAGGGTAAAGAGGATCACAATATCAGAATTCAGCAGTGTGGTCCTCGTGGGAGGGTAAAGAAGATCACAATATCAGAATTCAGCAGTGTGGTCCTCGTGGGAGGGTAAAGAAGATCACAATATCAGAATTCAGCAGTGTGATCCTCCTGGGCGGTTGAACACACAATGAGCCCGAAAATCAGCAGTTGTACTTTTGCACTGAGCAGAACTGAACGAAGGTTTATTTTTTTCTGGCAGGGGTGGAATCTGAAGGGATCTACAGGAAGAGTGGACAGAAGTCAAAGATCACTAGTCTCCTGGAAGCTCTGAAGAAGGATGCCCGAAGTGTGGTCTTCAAGGAGGAGGAGCCTGTGGACAATGTTTCTGACACCCTCAAAAGATTCTTCAGGGAGATAGGGGAGGGGATATTCGCCGAGCATTGCATGCAGTGGTTGCATGTGACAGGTGAGAGGCGCCACGGCCGAGTTTACTTTCGCTTTCTCAAAATCAATTTGTTCCACCGGAACTTTACCAATCATCTCGCCTTTTTGTTCCCCAAGTCTCACCGTAGACTCCACCTTTCCCTATGTCGCACTGATGGGAGTGGCCAAGGTGGCTTTCTAGGATGTATCGGAAAATATCACCCATTATAATTATTGAATGCAGACCTTGTATTGGGGTCCCCCTTGTGCCCAGACATAGGGTGGCCATAAGAGGGGGGCTTGTGTGCCACCAGAGAAGTTGAGGCACGGCGCAGATGTCTTGTAAAGGGGTCCCCTCAGCAACGGCCCCTCCACATTTCTGTTCCGGCAGGTTCCCTGTGGCCCACTGAGTGCCAGGAACCGATTTACAAGTCATGGCTGCTCCTTGTCCTAGGGGGTTCAATGATACACTATATTGCTAAAAGTATTGGGGCGCCTTTACACGCACATGAACTTTAATGGTATCCCAGTCTTAGTCCGTAGGGGTCAGTATTGGGTTGGCTCCAATACATCTTGGTGATCAATGAGGGGTTGCGGAACTGACTGCTGTCTGCCATTGGTCCCCGGATCACAAGAGTGGCTGAGCAGAATCAGAAATGTAGTTGAACAGGTTCCCTTTTATGTATTTTAGCTCTTACTTGGAAACCAGCCAAAAGATGATATTGATGATTATTAACAATGTAGCAGAGAATACGATGTCTGAGTGTCCCATCTTCTCCTCCAGGGATTGGGGACGAGGATGAGAGGATACAACACTACCGGAAGCTGCTGGAGAACCTTCCGTCTGTCAACAGAGCCACATTAAAAGCACTAATCAGTCACTTACACTGGTGAGTATTCATTGCTCAGTGGTACCTACAGGTCCCCGTCCTTCCAAGAGTACAGACCCCTGCACCTCTACCACTACAGACCCCTGCACCTCCGCCACTACAGACCCCTGCACCTCCGCCACTACAGACCCCTGCACCTCTACCACTAGAGACCCCTGAACCTCTACCACTAGAGACCCCTGCGCCTCTACCACTAGAGACCCCTGCACCTCCGCCACTACAGACCCCTGCACCTCCGCCACTACAGACCCCTGCACCTCTACCACTAGAGACCCCTGCACCTCTACCACTACAGACCCCTGCACCTCTACCACTGCAGACCCCTGCACCTCTACCACTAGAGACCCCTGCACCTCTACCACTACAGACCCCTGCACCTCTACCACTGCAGACCCCTGCACCTCTACCACTACAGACCCCTGCACCTCTACCACTGCAGACCCCTGCACCTCTATGTTTTTTTTTATCACTTCCTGTCCCACTAACAACAGTTTCACTGGGAAGATAGGGGAAAATGTGCAGCAAGAGCACATACATCAATATAAGGCTGACATGGGTTGTAGCCTTCCCCTACTCTACTGGGGAAAATCATTTTTTTAATGGTTTATACGGTTGAAAACTGAAGCTCAGATTACATGCACAGCTAAATTGAGGTTTAATTAGTGTCCACAGGCTTTGGGCTTGTGTTGCTTAGATTGGAGGCGCTTTGGAGATCATTCAGAGTTCATGGACAGGTGCAGTTGACCTGCTTCTGACCTCCCTTCTAACCCTGAATCAACCTGCCTCAAGCTGCATTGGCTTTTTCATTGACTTGTATAGGGAGAGAGGCAGTTTTGACATGAACAAAGACTCGTTGGCCCATAGAGAGCCTGAAAACAAGCAGATTGCCCTTCCTTTGTGTTGGTAGAGAGTTGGCAAAGCCCAAAATTGGAAACCAACTTATAGAGGAAGCTCTGTGTCAGTCGGGGTATTCCTGGGGACTCTCTCTGCCTCTGTCTTGCCCTCTGACTTGCGCTCTCTCTCTCTCTCTCTCTCGATGTCTTGCTTTCGCTCTCTCCCTCTCTCTCGTTCTCTCTCTCATTCTCTCTCCCTCTCGTTCTCTCTCTCTCCCTCTCGTTCTCTCTCTCTCCCTCTCGTTCTTTCTCTCTCCCTCCCGTTCTCTCTCTCTCTCCCTCTTGTTCTCTCTCTCTCCCTCTCGTTCTCTCTCTCCCTCTCGTTCAATTCAATTCAAATTCAATTAAATTCAAATAAGCTTTATTAGCACGACCAAATACATTTTAGCATTGCCAAAGCATATGGGGAGGTTATAGGGGGTCTCTCTCTCTCTCTCTCTCCTCTCTCCTCGCTCGCTCTCTCCTCGCGCTCTCTCTCCTCGCGCTCTCTCTCCTCGCGCTCTCTCTCCTCGCGCTCTCTCTCCTCGCGCTCTCTCTCCTCGCGCTCTCTCTCACTCGATCTCTGTGTCTCTCTCTCTCTCTCTCTCCCTCCCTCTCGTTCTCTCTCCCTCTCGCTCTCTCTCCCTCTCGTTCTCTCTCTCTCTCCCTCTCGTTCTCTCTCTCTATGCCTCCCTCTCGTTCTCTCTCTCTCACTCTCATACTCTCTCTCTCCCTCTCGTTCTCTCTCTCTCCCTCCCTCTCGTTCTCTCTCTCTCCCTCTCGTTCTCTCTCCCTCCCTCTCGTTCTCTCTCCCTCCCGTTCTCC